TGGAGGACTCGCATCCAGACTCCACTACCATCCCTTCTTCAACCAGCGCAAACCATCCCACTCCACAGCCCGATGCGAAACCTACACCCACACCACCGTCACGACTTACAACGATACAAAAACTGCGCTTCCTCCTCCTAAGATACCTCGCCAGAACCGCTGGCACTGCAGACCGCACGCTCGTCCGCCTCTCCAAACTCCTCTCCACACCCAGCGGCACCGACGTCCTCCTCTGCACAACCTCGTACACCCTAACCCTCATCCACGCCGTCCTCTCCCGCGTCCTCGAACGCCGACTCGCATCCATCGCCACAGAAATCGCCGAGAAAGCAGAGGGTGTCCTGCTCCCCGGCGAAACGCTCATAGCCAGCCTCCCAGCGCCCACGAGCACAAAAGTCATCGCACAAGTAGTTGGGAGTTCAAAAGCGCTTGCGGCTGCCATATCCGATTTCCGCATCTTTGTAAGATTATGGGGTGTACTGGGCTTGTATACTTGGGCGCGGGATACATATCAAGACAGGTTGCCTGAAGATGCAAGTAGGAAAGAGAAGATACTGAGAGGGCTGACGTGGACGGCCATCATATCTTGTGTCGCTTTCCAGGTCTTGGAGAACGGCGCATACCTGAGCTCAAAGGGTGCGTTGACGACGGCGAGTTGGACGGGCGATGTGGGTAAAGCACGGGAAAACGCGTGGTGGCTGTGGAGTTCGCGGTTCTGGGCCGCGTATGTGGGTGTTGAGCTTGTGCGTTTGGGTGTTCAGCAGTATTACGCTTCGCCGGCTGCATCGACATCGGTGAGCTCGGGTGATGGGGAGAAGGAGGATAAGATCCAAAGGGAGGAGCGGATCAAGGCTAGGAAACTGGAGAACTGGCTGTGGTGGAAGGATCTGGCGTCTAATCTGGCCTATGCGCCTATGACTGTTCATTGGTCATTAGAGCAGGGGTTGCTGAGTGATTGGGGTGTTGGTGCTTGTGGCATGATTGCTGGTGGGGCACTGTTGGCTGACGCGTGGAGGAAGACTGCGTGAGTGTATGGCAGGCTCCATCAAGTGGGATAGCACCGCAGCGTATTCCTCGAACTCGCACATCTTCCTATCAAGAATCGTTGTTCTGACAATGGCAGCGAGCATAGTTCTGGGCAGTCAACTCGCTTCAAGTGCAGTTGGGTCAAAAGTTTCGATTGTTCTAGCTACGCCTCCGTCTCGTGTTGAACAGACAGTCAGACGTACAGATACAAATCTACAAAGAGCGAGGTGAGATAGATCCGAAAAGAGAAAGAAACGGTAATGACTGTCCAAACTTCCACGCCGTTGCCAGCTCCGTCTACGCCTCAATTATCGCTCACTCTTCCTGTCGAACAGATGCCACACTCTAGCAAGTGATGTTGTAACTCACCTTGCCAGTAAGAGGCCTGCACGGATTGCCGCCGTTCAATTTCTCGTACGAAGTAACGTCACCAGTGCAACCGGCACCAGAAAAGGTGTTCACTAGACAACCGTCATTAGCGTCAAATTCGCAAGTCTCAGATTGCTAAGAATCGCAGACTTACCACGGCAGCTGGGAAGGCGCGTGTAATCAACGACGATGCTACCCGCGAGCGCGAAAGGCAGGTCCATGCATGGTTGGGTGTCGTCTTTTCCTTCATATCGGCGGGTATATTGTTCTTCACCGTTGCACGTTGTGTTGTTGCCCCAAGTGGTGAAGCTAGCTGAGCGGGGGACAGCCAAGGTGGTGCTCATAAGAGCGAAAGCGGACAAGGTGGTAAGAGCGGCGGAGAAATGCATGTTGAAGTGTGAGACTGTAAGGTCCTGATGGATTGAAAGATTGCTGATGTAGTGAAGATGGAAGTGGGAGAAGATGCGTTGTGATAATTTGATTCTGCTCTGCCATAGCCTTTATACATCATCACATCTCTATAGTCTCTCTCTTCAGATATAATGTTGCCTTCACTGATCGGACGTAAGATGTTGTTGGTTTCATGCCCTTTTGCCTGCTACGGTCATTCTGTAAGCTCTTGATGATCATCTTGCCAGTTGCTGTTGCGACGGCATGGTATCAAGTGGGACTTAAGAGGGAACTATAGACCTCATGATGTTGGCGATGAGGTGTCATGGTGCACGTTGAGCTGATATTATGTTGTTGGCTGGGCGGTTACACAGTCAGGACCTCAGGACCCTTGACGCAGTAAGCGCGCGTATCCAATAGCTTGATTTGAGCAAGGTTTAATACGGAGTGATATAGCTCGATATGATCATGCGCTTCGCATAGCCTTCGCTCCTCTGGACGTGCGCTGTAAACGAATACTGCTTTCGGACAGCTTGGGACAGCTGTCGGTGAAGGCATCGAAGATGAACACCGTTATTACTAACGACATTACTGAAATAGACACACAAGCGTATCTCTACTCTGATTCAGAACCGCGTTCCGGTAATGACTCGCCACTGGAACTCTCAGTCCTGCTTCTCTTCGCAGAGCGTGGTTCGTGAGGATCTGTTCTACAGCCCTTAGCATCACCATACCCCTTGCAACAACTCCAGACGAAACCTTCAGGACACTGCTCACGCATTTCTTCGGTATCGATCTCTCCGTGGATTCTTTCATCATGATCGGTCCAAAAGTCCTCATCTTCAAACACCTCTAAGTCTCCTTGTATAGATGTGAGTGATATGTTCTAGAAGTCCAATGCTTGGGGTCCTCTTACCTGGATGCCATACACATTTCTCTTCCTTCAGTATATCAAACTCTTTTTCACACTGCACACAAACGTCGAAGCGTCGACCGCGCTTCTGAGCTCTTGGTAGCTTGAAAGCGGAACTGTCTGCGAGCGGCCCATCAAGAAGCTACACCGCTGGTCGCCCTGCTTGTTCTTCCTTCACAAAGAGCTTATCGTATACTAGCTTGAAAGTTTCTGGCGACTCGTCGCATATCTCAAGCAGAACAGTTCGTAAGCGCTTGTGGGTCGAGGTCTCAATGACTTCTTCTAACTCCCGTCGCGTGGGGTCTTCACTGGTGACGCGTGACATTGTGCTTCTCAAGTGTGATGATAGATGAGATGAGTTGGTTGAGGAACATGCGACGCGTCCTTCCAGAAAATTCGCGATAGGAAGATTGCGGATTGAGCGGCCCACTAGTACAAACACGAGATAGCGTGCCTTCCGGACGCGTTCCCACGTGAAAGCACGCCACATTTCGATCTTAAGTCGAAGTTGAACTCAACACGATTCAGCAAGAAGCTCGAAGATGCATTCAATCGTTCCATCAAATGTATATACATGAATAAGTTGCCTCCACCATCACCGACACTGGTACGCGAGTGGAACGCTTTTTGGAGACATCTGTGGACATCGATCCCTCGTTACAACTCGCCGATCGACTGCATCCTAGGACCATGCAAGCCGTTCACCCTCAAATGCCTCCAATGGCCCTCTCATGGTCTTCGCGATCAATGCCTTAGCACAAGTTTACCACCCGGAGCAAGCAACAAAGGCGTTGCCACTGGCACCAGTGTGCGTAATCTCTCCCGCACGCTGTCCAGCAGTGTTGAAGATGACACGATCAGCACCCGGAGAGCCTAAATTTTCTCGTCAGCATGTATTCCTTAATTCGAGTCGCCTCCTCTCAGCATAGAGATAACTTACCACCGGTGTAAGCACCCGAAGTTCTCAGCGGGAACTCCTCATACGGGCCCGAAACCAAAAAGTCAAAGCCCTCATAGTTGTTATACCGATGAGGGTAGGTCGAGCTACCAGCTTCGTCTCCAGCCTGGTAGAGCTTGTAACCCGCACTGCGTGCAGCAGAGACTTGGGATGAAGTGTAGCATGTTGAGCCGCACTTGACGTAGCAAGATTGTCTGGCCTCGACGGCAGCAATCTCAACAGGTGCCTCTTCGGAGACCGAAGTGGGGAGAGCGAGGGCAATGGGCGCGATGAAGAGGAGGATGTTGGTAAGGAACTTCATGTTGGCGGCCGGGAGAGAATGAGACGACGAGCGAGTGTCTTGTCGGAGTTATGTAACGAGGGATCGGCGGGGCTGGTAGACCTGTCTTTCGAATGAAGGGTGCTACATAGTAGCTTTATACTGTCTTACTACCTGTCACCCCAGTGCAGTCCAGCGTTTAGTCCAGCGGTCGCCTCCGAACCATCTCAACCCTAAAGTGGAAGATCATGCTCGAAAGCAATTAAACCCGAACGCAGAAGACCTTAGCACCTTTCCGGAAGGAACAATTGCTCCGCGAGGCCATGCATCGGAGGCTCTCTCAAGCTGGGGTAGAGCAACCTATCACAGACTACTACTCCAAGCGTGGCACCTACAACACCATACTAAGCGCAGACCCTCGGCCCTTTCATACATCCACCACCCTCTCACGTTACCCCATCTCATTCGCTCGACAACAATATCACGCATGGATTCCCGCTACCAAGACAACCGGAGCGTCAACATCCCCAGCACCATCCCATGTAATCAACACATGCGACTTCCGCCGATCAGGAAGGTACGGACAACGATTCGCCGGTTATCTCCCGGAACTAAGATGATGTGTTTCAAGCTGCTTATCGCCGGAGGTCTGGCGGTGGTGCACATGTGCGTGTTCGATAGGCTGAGTGCGGTTAAGGATCGACAGGGAAAAGCGGAAGCTAGCGCTGGATTTGGAAGGTGGGCCTGGGCATTTGGTGTAGGAGGCATGTAGACTAGGAGATCGACCATCGCGACGGTAAGTGCAGATGGTAGCAGTGGTGGCTACGGCGATGCCGGCGGCTAGGGAGAGGTGTCGATTACTGAGCGAAAAGTGCCGGATGCGGTCTTGACCGTTGTTCGGTACTAATGATAAGCAGCTCGCCCAACATGCACTCACTGACCGAGCGCGAGGATGAGGAGAACACATTATAATACTCGTAAAAATAGATCGCGATAACAATATCATTGTTGTACACTGTAAGCTTGTCTTCTGCAGCTGTATAAAGTATGTGCTGAAATCCAAACCAGCTGGCAAGGTGCATAGCCTAAGCAATATAAGCATACAGTCCGTCGTCTTCTCTTTCTAAGAATTCCTTCTCGATCAATCGATCGATGTTTCTCTTGATGCCGCTGACTTCCAATGTTCCCCTATTTCTCGTCGCCGAGATTGTCTCGCTGACCAATTCCGCATGGCTGATTCGTTTCCTTGCCTTAAGGATTCTGACAATGGCAGCTTGGGTCTCGTAGTTGCGATCAGCAGCGACACGCTCGTGGGTCTCCTTGTTCTCGGCTGCTGTTTCCTTGAGCTGGACGGTGTTGACCTTGATACGGTACTTGGGGTCTGTGAATGACGCGTTGAGTGTGAAGGTGTCAGTTTCGTTGATCTCTCGGCCTTTGGGGTGCTTGGTCAATGGCCGGACTTTTGCGCAGGCTAGGGATTGTAAAGTGCGGTTAAGCTCAGCCGGTGCTGTCAGATGTTAGTAATGTCACATGATATATGTAGTGCGCGACTTACGTAGTCCAGTGGCTTGTTTGAGATACTCGTAGTCGATGTGCTCATCGTCCGCTCGGCCGTTGAAGAGCAAAAGAACGATAGCCTGGAAGGACGACACGACCAACTCCTTGAGTCCCTTGGGAAACCTGGCTTTGATCTGGCAATGCGCGAGCGCGTGCTTGAACTCCAGCTTGCGACCAGAATGCTTGACTTTGTAGTGTGCTTCAAACTTGTTGATCGCGGACTGGATCTGCGGAGGCAGAATCACAGGGACCGTGGGATATGTAGGCCAAGCTGATGCCGAGAGGACGTTGACGTTGAGATCCAGGCTGAGCTTTTCGTTGCGCTCCTCACTGATATTCTTGTACGAACTCATCTCTTCTCGTGAAAGTTCGATGTCGCGGAACATCTGCTCGAGGTTGGCGGTGAAGCCGGCACCACATTCTGCAGTAAGTCAGTATCTCAGCAAGTCGCAAATACGTGCACACTTACCAATCTTCAGCCTCGACAGCATGCTTCTCTCAGCGTCCGCACTGGCACTTCGGCCCATCAACAGTCGTCGGGCCAGATCTTTCTTGTAGAAAGCTTCAAACACAGCCTTGCCGTGCAAGAAGCGGAACAAATCGAGAACCTGATCGAGCTGATTATTGACTTCTGTATCTTCATCGAAAACACCTTCTTCGTTATCCTCTTCGACTTCTACAGCGGCGGGCTTGTCTGCCTTGCGGCTAAGCTGTGCTGGTATCGCTTTTGCGCCTCCCCTCAACAGCATGTCCACGTACTTGGCGATCATCTCGCCAGTCTTCGAGTTGTCCGTGCCCCAGCTTGCACTCGTCTTCTTTGTCTTGTTCATGAACTTGTCAAACGACTCTCGCAAACCGTGACCCAACTCCTCATCTCGGTGGAAAGATGCTTTCCACAATGTGTCTAACTGGCGCTTCAATGTGAGCAGTTGTATCACCATGTTATCCTGCTCCTTGTCGTTAAACACTATAGCTGTGCCTTCGTCCTCGATCCACTTTGTGAACCCTGGCCGTAGCTTTGAGCCAAGTTTCCTCCGTTCTAGTAATGTGTACAGTAGTTCAAGATCTTCAATGGCGTTGGTCTCGAGAAGATCCGCAAGCTCGTCTTGATTGGTCAGTCGCTCCTCCTTCTTCGATATCAAGTGGTCCTCAAATAAGGTGAGGAGCTCTCGTTTGGTGGTGTTTGGGAGGCTGAACATGTCGACCCTCTTCATCTCGCGATCCATGAGTGCTTTCGAATTGCGGACGTATTCGGGTAGTGACTTTTCAGAACTCTCTGTGTTTGCCCACTTCGCAACGTATTCCTGACTGATCTCCATCAAGCGCGGCTCAAAGGAGCGTGTGTAGACTTGCATGTCGTGGAACATGTTGACCGTCTTGGAGAACATCTCGCTGTCCAGGTCACCACCCGTCCGGTCGTTGGCGACGAGATCGCAGGCACCATCGACAATGCGCGGGTTCAATTTGGAATGTTCGAAGATGAGGGAGCGGAAGAGGCTGATCGAGATTTCGCGGAGGGATTCGTGTCGTGGGAGTAGGTAGGCGCGGTCGAGATAGCAGAAGATCCAGTCAAGGTATTTCTTCAGTTTGTCAGTATGGCAGCGTCCGCACGTATATGGGTATAACTGACCATTTGGCTGTTCCACACTGCCCACGCCTGTAGAGTTGCCCGCAATACATCGACGTTTGGCCTTCCCAGACTCTCCTTGACCTTCACCTTCAAACTTCCACCCACGTAGTCTTTGCATTTCGCAATCAGACGTTCTTTGATGTCTTTCGCCATATTTTGCCGACATACATTCTCTACACCTCTGTATAGTTCTTCCAGACTGAAGTCAACATCCCCTTGCCGAAAGATAGTGTCCAGAGCCTTCTCGATCTTCGCCCATGTTTGGTCCAGGAAGACCCTGGGGTCCACCTTCCTCGTGGGCTTGAAGTTCTTCACCACCAATCGCTTGGGACCGTTGTTGGCATGCATGTTGGGCGCTGCTTTGCGCATGCCATTCCGTTGCCCGTTGGCTTTGGCAGGGCTGTTGTCGGGGCTTGACGTAATGTCTACCACGTCGGCATTGCTCGATAGTCCCGCCTTCTTGCTGGGGAAGTGATACATCTCGGCTGTGCTCATCTTGGTAATCGGCGCTGGGGGTGTGGCGATCTCGGTGGTGGGGATCGGAGAGCTGTCTCGTCGTGTGCGCTTGCTAGTGGGTGATAGCGGCGCTGCGGAGGCGAGCTTTGGCTTGGATTGTGTGGTAAAGAGCTCTTTGATCGTCTTGCCCGAGTGCTTCCGTTTGAGTGCACCTGGATTGGCTGACATTGGGCGGACGTGGGGAGGACCCGGAAGCTGATGATTGCGGAGCTGTTGCTGTTAAAGCCGCGGCGATGGCAGTGACGCGCTTGATCCATGCCCCTTTCGGGTACACTAATGACGATATCGATAACGACGGAGATCTGAGAGTACATGGACAAACAGACCTCTTACATCTCATCTCGTATGCGCACTTGGGAGCGTTTTAATATTTCGTCCGACCATGTTTTCACGCGGCTGTTGAGGCTCTGGGTGCGACAACATGGTTGATGATGTACTGTGCATCGTGCCGCAGATCTGTCATCAGCCATTGACACCTGCCGCATGCATGCCGCTCACATTGCGATGTCATCGTTTCCATCCTTCTCGACAAGCTCGCATTTCGGGCCAGTGAGCAAAACTCTGTTAAAAATGCTTGCACATGCTTGCAAATAGAGGGTGTGTGGATGCCCAAGGTTGTTACATCTTGCCTACTTCCAGCGCCTACATCCCGACTACCGACGAACGTCTGGCTCAGTCTACTTCCCTCTATCGGCTCCTCATTCTGCGTTTACAAGATATGATTGCGAGATCACTCAATGTCCGCGCCGTCGCCGCCGCTGGCCCTCTATCTCGCCAATGCTACCCAACAGCTTTGCGGCGTAGCTAGCTGCCATCGGGCTCTTTCTATTATCAGACATCTGTTCCTTCTCTAACTTCTCTAGCGCCTACCTGATTGATGTAGATACCGGCTAAATTATTCCAGGCTGACACCATGAAAAGGGATCTGGGGCTGAAACCTTGCGGTCAGCCTTTGCACATGCTTTGGCCGCCCCTTCGTCGTACACTGGCCGGTTCCTTCGCTTCAGTCATATCTTTTATCGTTATCATCACGGCCATCTTTTCTTTTACGTTTTCGCGGCCAAACAAACAACGGAGATTTCGTTCGTCAGCTACAGCATGTGCACGCGCATCGAGTTGCCAGCGACGCGACGAGTATCACCCCACGCGACGATTGTGGGGTATCTACCCGTGGGCTTCTCCAGACGGCTACCGTTTGTGGAGACACGGCCCCGGGGACACTCTATGTGCACACGCGAGCCTTGACCAGCAGGAAGAACGGGCGTGAGCACCAAAAATGTGACATCGATGCTCAGTGCTTTCGCGAGTGGTCACGCACGTCGACAATGTTCAAGAAACCACCGTGGGCCTCTGTTGACGGTCTTCAAGCCAGGTAGACAGTGGCTCTACCACACTTCCAAAGTCGTTAACAATTAGTTTCAGCGCTGTCAATATATAGCAACGGCATCCCCCGCAGAGTGGAAAACACTACCGCCATCGCGGAACATTCCTCGTATCGTAGCCATCACGTCCCTTGGTGGGTCTCCGAGGCTACCAATAATAGTCATTTTGCTGCTATTGTCGTGCCACACGCATGAGCAGCCACCAAGAGGCTAAAAAACGCCACCGCCTAACCTTTTGAGAAACGCCCGCATCCCTTTGCATACCACCTGCAATGTCTCGCACCTGCCCCTGGTAAGGCGAAGCCTAATGTAGGTTTTTGTTCCCTCTCTCCAAACCACACTATTTGGAGTTGCCAGTTTTGTCACAGACGAGACTAACTCACTCAAACTCTCATCTGTCTCTGACAGTAGCAAGATCACGACTGCAGGAACTGCTGTGAGTATGCAAGCCCAAGGATCAAGACCGAGGATACCCGTCTGTGATTTCTCGAAGTTTAACATGTGAGACGGACCATGGGGCTCTTATTCTCACCCACGCGACAGCGACCCGCGCGGGATGAGCCATCCTGCTGGTACCTGACCATAGAACTGGGCCTTGATATCACATCCGTGCCTCGACATCACTGCCCAAGCAGATCAGGGCATTCAGCTGAAAGCTCGTCAGCCAGGCCACGCCATCTTGGAGACAGGAAGAGTGAGACTGAGCAACCCAGCGATTGAGCCTTACTTGACTCCCGTAGCAGCTGCATATCCTTAGCGTGGATAGATGAGATGCCAAAATTGGAAACATGGTTGGCCAGCACGGTCTCTACATGACGTCCCATTCCCCGAAGTGGAAAACGCTGGCATGGCCGCCTTTCCATACCCTAACACACAGACCGTGGCCCCATCGATTCCCAAGCCTACCAGACGCTCAACCAACCATGCTGTTCAGGGCTAGCTGCCTATCGACGTAGCCAACAGGACGTCGCGGCAACGTACTACACACTTGATGCTTTTACGCCATTTCGCCCGTTTGCTCGAGCCTCACTGGCTCTCTGGCTTCCGATATCCAGCATCCCTCAAGTCACTCGCCGTGAGACCTTCGTTATCAATCTTCACTGCGGCCAAGGGGCATTGTCTGAACAGTGGCTTGATCATCCTTCCTACAAGGCTCACTGAGGCTTGCATCCATTCCCTCTCATCCAACATCCGTGTTACCGATGGTCATTTGCCACCCCACGTCCTGGCTGGCTCTCATGTATATCAAAAGCTGGTCTTTCGGACGCTGTTCAAATGCCACTTCCTCCCTCCTGACAGCATACACTTCAGTGCACATGTTCACTATTCTCCTGATCACAGTCAACAGTTGTCAACAAGCATCACATCAAGCTTTTATCAAGCCAGTATATCATTGCAATACACATCACGAACCATGACTCGGGCTCCACGGCGCTTGGCCAAGTCTGATAGGTCGGGTCCAGTTGCGGTGTTGCCCAATAATAGTATGTTCACTTTCAGCAGCCGAGCATATTTATATACTAACGTTTATAGCACAAACAACACTGAGCTACCCCTCTACACCACCATGCCCGTATCATCAATCAATATTGCAACTGAAGTTCGTGCCGGAAACGCTTACAGACATGCACCCCATGGATCGCTTCATCGCGGCGCCCTCATCACATCACCCTGTGGCGTTCACAGAAGCTTTCAAAATCGGCACTGCTGCTTCGGATGGATGTACCTGCATCTCAGCCACGACCGTCACCTTGGAAATACCGTCGGAGATCACCATGGTGGATGTTGATGTACTGCGCGCGCCCCACCAAGAACAAGCTATGTTGGAGGTCGGGCATCGACCATGAACAGATGTGGAGTTGCCGAAGCTCGGAAGCAGAACTTAAAAGCGTTAGTGATGTGATACTACAAAGGGAATGTTCAGAGGCGCGCTTTGATTTGATAGTATTTCGAATAGAATCAGAACACTCTCTCGTGTAATGCCATGACCCTCGAAAGGTGCACCAAATCCTTCTCAACCTCGCAATATGAATCAAGCTCTACTATCGGTCGTGTAGCGTGGGACCCCTCTCTCACATGTCGTCCCACCTTTCACAGGACCTACAATGTCTTGGCTTCGCGATGCTTTGCTTTTTGCAAAAGTGCTACAATCCACGACTGTTTCGCCACCTGCCTAGTTGGACGGCCAAGGCCACCCTGCCCTCTTATTCTGGCTGCGATCAACAGTGCCAAGTTTCTCTAAACTTTCCTATTGCGGGAACAGCGATGTGTTGCTCTCAGAAGTTTGCTGTCTTCGATGGATTTTCAAAGATGCTCGATGCGGAAACAGCGAGCTCTTGCTTTCACAGAAGTGCCGTCTTCAACATATGCTTGTACTGCTGAAGTGAAAGCTGGACACTCAGACCCCAGCCGATTGCCTTCCCCACGAGCCGACGCGTAGCGCGACAACGGCACAAGCATACTCTTCCCAGCAACGAACAGCGATAATGCAGATTGCTCATAGAAGAGCAACGCATTACTAATTAAGGTGACGACTGAATGCGATTCTTGAATGAACCATGCGATCGTTTCTCAAAGCGTAGCATGTTTTAGATGTATCTGGGGTATCTCAAGATCGACCAAAACCAACACATCACTCCTGCGTCCCCCTCTTCGCAGCCATCATCTCACGGTACTTGTCAATCATCTTCTGACGCTCCTCGCCCAGCTCCTCCCTTTTCCTCAAGCTACCAGCCAGTTTAGGAACATTGCCCACCTTTGCTCCGGCCCCATTCTTGACCTTGAAAATCTCTCTGGGTACCTTATCGAAAGTTGGCGGTGCATGAACAATGTCGTGCAAGCCCTTCCGTTCTTCTCTCTTCTTCTTGAGAGCCTCCCACTCGTCTTCGCTGCCATTGTCCACCTCGCCTGGCAGCTTCCTGCGTTTGTTCTTCTTCGCCTTCTTCTTTTTGCCGTTGACCGTTCGCGTGGTATCCAGATCGGCTGTCTTGTCTTCCCACATGGCATCCAGCTCGTCTTGTTCCTCCTCTGCCAGTTCCGCTGCCTCCATCTCCTTCTCTCGTATCCGTGCTTCTTCTTCCCTCCATCCCTTTTGTAGACGCTTGAGGTGCCGCTCGTGCTTGGTGACTCTGTGATCGCTGACGCCTGCAACCTTTTTGCCGGACTTGCTGATGCCTGACATGGGCAACGCTGCGTCAACTCGCGCGCGGAATTCGTGCATTGACTCTCCAGGTTGTATCTTCAGCGCGGTCGTTGATTGCACCTGCTCCTCGCTCTTGTTGTTTGCATCGTCCTTCTCTACTGCCTCAGCTGCGGCTTGCTTCTTCTGCTTCTTGGTCTTCACAGTGCCGTCGTCGAGGGCTGAGCGCTTCTTTGGTCCTCCCTTGGAGAAGGCCATTAGCCGCTGGAAGGCCTTGGGTGTGTCGTCTGCGCCATAACCTTCGACTTGGTTCACTTTGCGCTTTTTGCCTTTGGTTGCTGTGCTGAAGGTGCGGGCTTTGCCAACGGCGAGGGGAGCAGCGTGGACGTTGGGCGGAAGGTTGAACCTGTTGGTGACGGGTCAGAATATCGTCTACAAGTGCTTAGGCTTGCGAGAATACGAAATGACGTACTGGGTATCATCCTCCTCCACGCGTCTGTGTTTGTGAGGCATATTGGGTATTGGCTGGCTGTCTATTCGATACCGAGTCCCGACGGTAATCAGTCGATGGCTGTCGCAAAAAGTTACGGAGTCGCGACAGGGATTATCGGGCAAGTGGGGATCGGATATCTTGGCATTGCGCGCACGTGTCGCTCGGCTTCACCCCGCCATCTTCACTTGCGGAGCTGCTACAAGACATGGAGAAAATGGACACGGCCTGCCGAGGCGGTGCTTGCGATGCTTAGAACTTCCGGCTTACCGCCTCATTTGCAAGCTTTCAAGTGTGGCGCAGGCCCAGAACAGAACGACCGAAAACTTACAATGTACGCTGGGACCAATCACGGCAGTCGTGTGGCCGTGTTCAATAAGCTCAGCGAGAGACACGCAACATGCAACCCGTCAATCCTGGGAACACGACGCTATCGAGACTAAATGCATTGTTTCGCAATCAAGGCGAAAATGATGCCCCATTGTGACAGTTTCGGACCGAAGCCATCACCACTACGCGTCCGGGCAGGTGCAACGTGGATGGGGTCTATCGGTACCAGTCCACCGCCGCATTCAAATAAACCACTGAGTGCGCAAGCTCAGCAACGTGCCCGTCCAAAGCACAACCTTTCTGATCATCTGCTCCGACTTTCACCAGACCGAGTCGTTAGCATCTGCCGTTGAGTGTCGGTCATCCTCTCGCTCGCAACCAATCACCATCGCCAGCCGTGTTGCGTGCCCGAACTCGCTCTCCAGGCCGTGCACCAGTTCTCGAACGCTGCTGGGCGCTGCGGCTGTCTCGAGGGCTTGCATGCTGATAGCCCGCACTTTATCTTCGTGGGTTGCATTCGTTTCACGGGTGGGCTGGCCGATCGCACTCTGTCTCGCAATAAGTAGGCTCCGTTCCATATTGCTCTTGACAACTCCAAGTCCTTCGCCTTCAATCCATCGACACCCAGAATCTCAAGAGGCTCTACCAAGGAACTGGACCCTGCGTTTTGCGCGACTTTCTGGATCCTGCACTGAACCGCGGAGGTGCATCGCGCCAGTCTAGCCTCCTCCGAACCCAAGGACGGGACAATAGCCAGTCTGGATCACCGGTACAAAGCTCGTGGCGTTTTGGAGCGACTGTCGAAGAGGAAGGTGTGTTTAGCCAGCGAACGCCTTCGTTTTGAGGTGCAAACTCGCCCGGGCGAGCAAAGACGACCTTCAACATCACAATTCTTTCATCGCATCCTCCATCTTTGAACAGGTGCGCTGCATATATCGATGTCGCTTGCCCCACCTCTCAGGGTCCAGCAAGTTAGTCGTGCCAGATCCTTGCCTGCGATTGGCTCGTGCCTGAAGATGGCTACCGAAACCCCCTCCACCCAACCTCTTCTACGCATCTCTTCCGACTCGGAATCTTCTTTCGATGCGAAAGCACCTCATGTTTCCTTGCGCGAACTAGAAGATGGCAACGGCTCCATCTTTGCTTCGGACGAGGAGGAGATAGTATCGCGACCTGGGTTCTGGCGCCGGCTAAGAATGAGCATCCGAAGACGGAATGCAAAGTTGCGGGTCGACGAGGATTGTGGACGTGTGAGGCTACCGGATGAGAAGACGCAGTCGAAGAAGTATCGAGTGAAGAGGAAATATGCAGCTAGAGCCTGTGTTATAATACCATTGCTGGTATTCATCTTCTTGTAAGTGCCTGTCAGACCTTAGCTTCCGCGCGTTCCGGCGGCAACCCTCTCATTCGACAGTCCCCTGCCTTACGTGCAGCTGTCATCCTCTCATGATCTGGAGAAAGAAGAACAGGTATACTGACTTTATTAGTGGTGTCCTTCATCTTGTCAACGTATTTCTGGGATACGTGCCTACCTTTCTGGATGATTATGTAGTCTCGTCGTTCGACTCGAGTGTGTTAGACAAGGCGCAGCTATTGGATATAACACGCGACGTAACTCCGGTCCCTTGCCACTCGCACAACGACTACTGGCGCCGAGTACCACTATACGACGCCCTACGCTGGGGTTGCACAGGCGTCGAAGCAGATGTTTGGCTCTTCGATGAGGAGCTGTACGTTGGTCACAGCACCAACGCCCTGACGCAAGATGGCACCTTTACGTCCATGTACGTCGACCCATTGGTCAAGATGCTAGACCACAAGAACGAGCTCGGAGAGTTTGCGACATCGTCCGATGTCAAGAACGGCATCTTCGACACCGAGCCTGCGCAGACTTTAGTTCTACTAGTCGACTTCAAGAACAACGGCCACGACATCTTCCCTGTAGTATCCCAACAACTTGACGCGCTCCGCCAAAAAGGATACCTCACCTACTTCAATGGCAACACCACCATCGAAGGCGCCATCACCGTCGTAGCAACCGGCAACGCCCCCTTCGACCTCATCACCGCAAACTCAACCTACCGCGACATCTTCTTCGATGCTCCCTTGGACAAGCTCGATGAAGGTTCGGTCACCACCCGCGGCGGTCAAGGCACAGTCGGCACAACACCCACCTCCCACTTCGACAGCACAAATTCGTACTACGCATCCGTCAACTTTGGCCACTCAATTGGCACACTGTGGTTCGGTCGGATCACCGAAGCCCAGCGCCTCAAGATCCGCGCACAGATCCAAAGCGCAAAGGAGAGAGGGTTGAAGTCACGATATTGGAGTGCGCCCAAGTTTCCTATTGGATTGAGGAATAGGGTATGGAAGATGCTCGTTGAGGAAGGTGTGGGTTACTTGAACGGAGATGATCTGCAGGGTATGACGAGATTGGACTGGGGGGTCAAGAGACACTGGGGTTTGATCGGTTGATCGAGCTCATCGATCCTTAACAAGAGGGGAGGGAAGATGAAGATATGATTTTACGTGGCATGTATGGCGTTTTCAAGGAGTTTGTTCATGTCGGGGACCTAGCATTACAGTTCTCGGTGGCATTAGTTGAAGATACCCGATAGATGAGATTGCAATACACATTTCTCATACTTTCAAGACGTCATTCTCATGCAGCACAGCTTTCACGTTGACCGTCAATCATCAAAGTACAGACCTGGATGAACGGGGAAATGTGATCAGAAAGTCATATATACATAATCCAATCCAATAAGACAAATAAGGGAGTAGCGAAGTCATCGTCATCAACATCAACAAAGAAGCTTCTTTTCCGCTTCACGAAACGCCAACAGCGCCATACAGTCTATACCCAACATGAAGCTCGCCGTCATCCAGTCGTTGGTGTGTCTAGAACATACTCCAGCCCTTCTTCCTCCGCTCATCCCTATCGTCCCGACGGCCCATCATGCGCTTCTCTCTTTGCTCGAGTTGGCGCAGACCCTCCATCTCCTTGAGTACGTGTTCGAGAAGATCCTTGCGACGCACGACATCAAGGTGGCGTTTGATCTTGGGGTCTTCCTTGGCGAAGCGGTCGATTTCTTCTTGGGAGAGGCCGCGGCCTAGACGGGCGTCGAGTTCACGTGGGAACTAGAGGGTTGTTAGCGGAAGTTGTGTGGGTAAGGAGAGGGGTAGTGGCTTACGATGTAGTAGAACTTGCTTAGCAGCTCGGCGTCCAGGAAGAGATCAGCAGTTGTTGTAAGCTTGTCTGCGACGGCGTCGAGGAAGACTTCTGGGCAGTGGTATTTGTTCTTCTTGCTGGCGCATTGCTTGCTCTTGATGGCGAGTAGACGTAGTTTGAGCACGTCGATGCGGTCGCGGAGGAAGACTGCTTCTCGGCCTGTAATGTTGTTAGTGCTGAGTTCAGGTGATAAAAGAGGTAGACTTACCCTTAGCAAGGAGGGCAGAGCTGAACCCGCCAGCACCGCCAACTCCGTCACCTTCGAGAACAACTTGTCCGCTTCGTACGCGGTCAATGAACGACATTACGTCCCTGACTCGCTTGCGGCCACCAACTTGCTCTTCAAGCTGCTTTACGGCAGCCTCGACGACCTTCAGCTCGTCCTTGAGCACAGCTGTGACATTTTCCCGACCTTTTGCCCATTCGTTGTCCTCGACTTCGATGCGGTATTTGTAGGGCTTGATGCAGATCTCCAACTCGTCGGAGATGTCATAGGAAAGGTCTTTGAGGATGGAGGTGGAAGCGTCGGTGATGGCTTGTCGGGCGAAGGGGTGGGCGGCGAAACGAGAGTTCGTGATGAGGCGGTCGATGTGGGCTTGGAGCGCACTTGCGACAACGTTGGTGGCTAGACGTCCGACACCCAATTTCGTAAGTGCAGCACTGGAGCTGTCGAGCTTGATCTGCCATATTTGATCTTCGCCATCGATATCAGCTTTGGCAAGGTTCGTGAGAGGGTCGGTCTCGGGGAAGGGGACGCTAAGATCGTCGAAAGGCCTGTTCCAGTAGCGCTGTGCAAGCAGGTTGAGTACCTGCTGGTCGAGCTCGTGCTTGAGCAAGTCACGAACTTGTTGGCGACCGAACTGCTCAGTAAAGCCACGGAAGGAGTGCTTGAAACCATCTAATGATTCCGCAAGGTATGACTCTGCGCTGATAGGTCGCTCGTTGTATTGAACCTTGTATTCGTATCGGGCATCTTCGAGCTCCCTTTGGATAGCCTCGCTTGTCGTCTTGAGGCTGCCGGCCATTGTCTGCTCGAGCACATGCATAAGCTTCTTCTTGAGGTTCTGCGTTCCGACGGCGAGCTCTGATCCTTCTGAAAACTCAGGATGCGAAGAGAAGTATGCTTTTTCGTTCTTTGTAATTGCATTGGTGATGTTGCCGTTGCCGCGGCTGAATAGCTTAGAGCCACCAGCACCAGGTGGTACCCGACACACGACACCGACGTATCCCAGGCGCAGAGCATACTTCTGGTCGCTGAGAAGGCTGGCACCGCGTTCGGCATCCACAAGGTCCATCTTTGTAATGACACCAATAGTCCTCTCACCTCGAGGGTCCATGCGTCGGGACGCCCGCAGCGCGGTGCTGTTGGCCAGATCCACGTCGGCGGCGGAGATGGCGAGGATGACATTGGGTGCCTTGATGTATTTCTCGCAAAGCTGCGAGATCTTTTCCTTCAGCTGTGGGGGCTGATCTCGGCCAACGACCTGGATGTAGCCAGGCAGGTCTATCAGGGAGAGATCGGGGACGTTTGGCGAGTAGATGCGCAGCTGGATAGGGTCATCGGAGACGCAGTCGCTCGCTGGTACAGCCAGGTTCAGGTCTGTCAACGTCTTCTGCACCTGGCTGAAATCTGTGACCTTTCCCAAGCCGAGAGCAGGGAATTCGCAGTACTCTGCATGTGCATCCGGTGTGTTGACGAGTGTGAGCTCAATGGGTCGTCGCGTAACCATGTTGTGTCCTTTCGGCAGGAACTCATGGCCTACGATGGCTTCCAAGACCGAACTCTTTCCGGATGATTGCGATCCGATGACAACGATGGAGGGCAACGTGAGCGAATCGGACTGTCCAACAGTCTGCAGAAGTCCGCGTATCTCAATCATCTTCTTGGTGAGCATCATCATCTGCTCGTCTCGTGCGATCTTCTCCGCCTGCGGCCTGTCCTCGTCGTCTTCCTGAGCATATCCGAATGCCGCCGCTGTTGATGCACCGGCTGCAGCAGACCCAGCACCGCTCTGCTTGGGTTCTTCCGGGCCTCTGCCGCCACCGTTACTGCCACCACCACCAGATTCGTCCTTGGCGAGTAGTCGCTGTAGCCATTCCGGGTATTGTACGCCCTCGAATTCGTCCTTGGTCGACTTGAAGCCCTTTTCTAGCTGGTCGAAGAAGCCATTTGCCGTGCTGAGTGCGCCGCCCGCAAATTCGGTCGCGCCGTCTTTGGTTCGGTGGAAGAGATCGAGTGCGAATGTTCCCGCCTCTGTTTAAGTTAGAACCAGTCAATATGTTAGCACGCATATACATACGGCCAGCTTGGTACTGGATATATGAGACTCCTGCAACGACGGCCCCTCCTGCAGCGGCGCCGACAGTCGCAAACTTGCCTACCAGCTTTGGTATGACCCGCGCAAAGGAGATGGAGCGTGTAGCGGGGATGTTGTGCAGCGAGTAGCTACCCAGCGGCCATGGTCGTCGCTTCACCAGGCGTAGGCCGGCTTGGTTGCGGAGGAGGCCACCGGCGGGCAGCGAGTGCGTCGTGTAGAAGCGCGGAGTGAGCAGCGGTGAGCGGCGTGCGATGGTGGAAAGGCGGCCCGCGACGAGCCTGCCGCTCATATTGACGACAAAGAGACCACGACAGGTCTGTGGTAGGGCATAGGGTCAGGTAGGGGACGTGGGTGCGCGGCTGGACGAGCGTTCAGGTGCGGCTATGCACGTCACCCATCGACTTTTGGGACGCCGGGGGGCTTGGGCCATCAACACGCCGCGTGGGGCTGCGAGTCGCTCGACGAACAACATCGAGACACGACATCCAACCAGTTCTGCTTTTCCATTCATCTACGTGGTCTCGGGTATCTTCGATTTCTAGCTTCACTTCAAACACAAAATCGCCCTTTCCCCGAATGCATTCAACAGCGACCCTTCCTCCTTGATCATGTCTCTCAGCCAGTTCCTCGAGCCTTCAACTTCCCTGCTGGCGAACTTGACCAGCACAAAGCCTCTCACGTTCGCGGCACTCCATATCAGCCCATCGGCCTTTTCTCTCTGCTGTCTCTCATACCGCCTCTGCTCATGCGCTTGAAGCTCTGGCTGCACCGCGTCACCCCAGTTCCTCCCACCAATACGCGGTAGTGCCTCGAACTCATCCAAAAAGAACTTTGACAGTGACGAAAAGATTGGGCCACGAACGATCAAGGTGCCGAAGACAGAATAGCTGTCCATACGTGATGAGAGTAGCAGCCCCGTCTTGCCATGCTTGTCTAGAATGAGATTGTCCCGTAGAAGCAGTCTTTTTTTCCCGGTACCATCTACAGTCCAGACCTCGTTGCGGCTCTTGTACTCGTAAATGTCCCAATTCTCTCCCCGTGCCGAACGGCCGCTCGTGACCCAGTCGCAAACACACAGATTACCTTGCTCTTTCTCCAAGTGATAGATCTGGGACTGAGAAAAGGCCGTGTTGGCAAAAGGCTGCACTGGATCGGGGAGATAGACCAAGGCGGCATTGTTCTTGAGACGTATGTTCATATGTTGTCGTGAGACTAACTCTGGAGTAGGGGTCTTGAAGATCTTGGTCGACCCTTGCGTCAACAGTATCAGCCGTGTACTGCTGTCTAATCTGACTTCCAGATCTATGCTGTCTCCAGCTACGATGCCTCCACCATAGGTCAACAGGAACACTGTATGAATGAGACAGGGGGTGACTGCAGCTGTCGCGTCCTCTGCTTCTCTGCCATAATTGGGTGGTGCTAGGGGATCCGGGGCGACTAGCTTGAGTGGGTATTGGTATGACACGGTTTGAAGGACAGGCGTATCCGGAGGAAGAATTTCGAGGACTATGGATCCATGGCCAGGTTTTGATGCTGATGTACCGAAGGGAGAGATGAAGGACATGGCGAAGTGCTATTAGTGCTTGCAAAAGATCATCTTTTACTAAGGTCGGCCCTGAACATGTGTATTGATTTGCATAGAGTTTGTGCGGAGATGCATCCAAAGCTTGAGTGGCACCAGTATGTGCGTCTGAAAGAGCAGCGGCTTCCTCTGGACGGCGGAATGGTGACTATCAGATAAGTGAGTGCACTTGCCTGCGTGCCTGCCTATTCGATTAGCGTGAGCGCGGACCAAACCGCCAAGGCGCGACGCGGGGCAGGTTTCTTCCTCTCTTAGTCACTTTTCTGCACCTGGGCAGCTCCCAACCCCACCTAAACGCAGCCAAAGTATCTACCGATTCGACAACTTTTGCACGCGTTCGAAA